CTATTTAAATATTTTAATTGCTGAAATAATTTGTTTTTCATTCTAGGATCATAAGCTTAAGCATATGGCTGAACTACAACAATCTGTAGTTTCTGATCCAGACACAAAATCGCAGATTTCTCAACAGATTCTGCAGTGGGAAGAAAATCTTGAAAGGCTACACTGTGAACAGTTCCGTCTCCGATGTTACATGGCAAGTCTTCAAAGTGGAGAGCTTCCGAATCCCAAGGTAATTGAAACAAAATTAAGAATTTTTGTTAAAAATTTCAATCTATTAAATAATATATAATTATCCATGTATTTAGAAATTGCGTAATATTCATGTAGCTAAATTAGTAAAAGGAAGATAGATAGATCATTCATTCTGGGAGTTTAATTGCTTTTATGGTTCTTATACTTATTTATATGCAAAGTACATTTGTTTATTTATTTGTAGCCTTAATATTAATGCCTTTCAATGTGGCAGAATGTATTAATATTCAATAAAGGAAGTTTAAAAAAAAAGTTTATTTATTAATATAAAATAGAATAAGTTTTAAAAACTTAGTTATAAAAGCAGCTATATAAAATATACAATAATTATATTTACATTCATTTTTATTTAAATGAAACCATGTTATCATTTAAAGTAGCCATATACTTTCATCATCATAGAACACTGAAATTTAATGATTTTTTTTTTTTTCTTTGCAGAGTTTACTTACTCATGTTTCAAGGGCAACGAAATCAACCTTAAACAAGCTAGGTGTCTTTACTGTTTCTTCATTCCATGCATTTATTTGTGCACGTTCACCATCCTTATTAAACAACCTCCTCGCTGGGAGAGGAGCCACAAAAAGAAGGCCGCCTATGCTATCCCGTTCGAACAGTGGATCTTCTAGAAGGTCATTACAGATGTCTAGAGAAGAACAAGAGAAGACTGTGAAGGTTTCTGTCCCTGAAAATCAGGTTAGTAAACTTTTGAACCTTAAACATTATTACTTTTTTCTTTTTTTTTTCTTAATTCAAAGTATCATAATATTTACTCTTTGATTATGCTTGTAATAGGCAAGATGTTTTGCTACTGTGAATATACTCATTTATCTTTTCTGATATGCAAAATAGGTAGTTGTGGAATTTGTTATTGCCATTCAATCCCTCATTTATAAACTATTATAGATAGAAAAATCATTTATTAATTAGCGAAACATTATTTTCGGGCTATGTTAAATAAATATAATCCTTAATCTTAATGCCAAAGCTATGAGAAATATTTTTTTCAGTTTGCTACAAGTTTATTTTAAATAAAAAACTGATTTGGTAGCAGTAGTTCTTATCCGGGGGTTAAAATAAGCACTTCTGGGATGTGAAATAAGTTCCTAAATTTTTATTGGAAATTGGGTTTTGATCATGTTTCTTACCTGAGAGAAACAAGCAAGCAACATTTATATGTTAATTATCCCTATTTCTTAGTGATTGGGGCACATTGGAATGTGGGCCCCTGATTGCCTGGTTCTGAACGTTTTGGGTTCGATTTCTACCTGGGTTCATTAATTTTCATTTCTCTGGAAAATGAATCTTGATATTCCCACTCAGGTAAGTATGCAATGCCAACGTCAAGGTAGCCATCAGGGGTTGGTAAAAAGGACCATGTGACCCATTTGCAGGACTAATTATTCCTGCTACTATCAGTATTACTAATTTTTTCTTCTGGCCTTTTTGTATCAATGAATCGTGATATCTAGTTAGATACATGTTTATATTCTCATATTCTTCAAAATAGATAATTTGAAACAAAAAATATTACTTATTACTATTTAATTTTTATATGTAAATATTTCTTTAAATTGATAGTTAAAATTATTATATTTTAAGGGATATAATAAATTAAATACAATCATAGAAATATATTTGTTATGTGTTAAAATAACTTATTTATATTATTCAAGAGAGTGTGGATTTATTTATAATATTTTTTTTAGTAATGAGCGCCATAGATGATCAACTGTGATGTCCAAGTTTAGTTTTATATAATACTAATATATCTATGTAAAAACTCTCGCATTACATTTCTATTCTTCTTCTCCAATAAATATTTGGAGTATAAGAGATATTAAAAAAAAAAACATTTATTTATATAGAGAATAATATTATCAAAAAAATCTATTCAGTTGACATAATCAGTAAAGCTCCATTCAATATAATGACTATATTAAAGTAATATTGTTTATTATGATTATCTTACCCATTGTGAAATATTCCTACAGTTTAAAACTTATGCAGTAAGAATTAACTATCAGTAAACTTGTTAGAAATAACAAAAACATTCTTTCTATGATATCTGAAGACCTGGGGGATCTCAGGACTATTCTTTTAATCTTTTCAACAAATGTTTAATTTTCTGCTGATTAAAGAAATAATCATACTTTAATTTGTTTAAATCTTAACAACTATTCCATGCCCTTAGATGGGTATCAGCTAAAATTACAGTTTTTGTTGAAAACAGTAAATTTTAGAACATTATTATGTTGGGTTCGGTATTTTTATAGGAGAATCTTGACTGTATCTTGATATCAGTCTTGAAATCTTCAAAAGCTGACTTTCCCTATCTTGATCAGCCAACTTACTGCAATTGGAGTATTGATACCCCTTACATTTTTCAATTTTATTAAAGTTTTGTAAAGTCAAGGTTCAGAATTGCGATTCATCACTTCTCAATGAAATTCTCTTTCTTTTTACACCTCATTTTCCAAAATCCATTACACTTCAGAGCCTGAAAAGAAATATTTATGACTGGATTTTATATTTATAATAGATTATTTGTTGACCATGATTAAGAAATTTAACGTTTCTTAATCTTTATTTATTTTAATAATATTTATCTAATCGTTAATTATTTTAATAATATGTTCCATTTTTATTTTTTCCAATATAATGCATGCTATTGTATAAATTAACTAATGCTTCTTAATTAGACAAAACATTTGATGTATTTCTTTTTTTCTCTTGTTCCAGTTTGTTAGTGTTTACTTAAGAGAACAAATGACAGTAGAGGAGTTTTTAGCCTCAGCATGCAGCAGAAAAGGGCTTAATCCTATGGAACATTTTGTTAGAGTGAAAAAGCGGAGAGATATGGAAGATCACAATTACTTTGTTCCGCATAGATCAGATACTATTGAAACTTATGTAAGTATAATGTTTTCAACATTTAGGTAATGAATAATAAAATTATTTTTTCTTTGATAAATTTGCATTGATTAAAATATGTTATGATTGAACATGAACATCATACAAATAAAAATTAAATTACCTTAAACAATGTTTTTTATAAATATTTAAAATAAAAAAATTGTTAGTAATAAAAGTTCTCATTGTAGAAATGATTTTGTTCATCTACCTTGGTTTATAGCCTACACACTTTGCTGGAGCAGTAAGCTCTGAATGAATGAATAGCTTTGTGTAATATTATTCTGTTCATGCTGGCATCTCAGATTACTCTTTGGCTTTCAATTTCATTCCTTACATATCAACTTTAATTGTTTTTAGAATAGAAATTTTTTACAATAAATATATCCTACTCAATCATGTCATTTATTGTTGTATAAAACAATAAATATGATTAAATTAAGGAAAAAATATCCTAATTTTTTTAATTGATCAAATCCTTGACTTGACATATTCAATTTTCTTTTAACAGAAATTTTACTGTTGTTATCATTTGGCAGGCTCTATCTGGGCCTATGCTAAAATAAAATGATGGTTTTTTGCATTTGTTAGGGAATGAATCCGTTCATTGAACTACTGACCTTTCTTTTTTTCAAGGTCAAGTATAAAGAGTATAAAGATTTACCTGTTCCTAACTCATTCTAATACTGTTGATGTTTTATTTCTATGATTTACTTCTCTATTATTTGTACCTATTGATAGTTATTTTTTGTTTTTTTTTTACTTAATAAATTTATCACTTACTAAATTTACTCAATTATTATTATTGTATTCAGTTATCAGTAATAATATAAAGACTAATTTTATCCAGTTAATTAGCATCAATAATAACTAATTTTATTCTTATCAGCATGTGTCTTTAATTTATTTCATCAACTTAAAATATAACCTTAAGGTGCAATATATATTGTTCGATAATGAATATGATATAAATTAATAATGTTTCAGCTTCATACACATGAAATAGTAGAAGTATGTGCAAAAATATTGTATCAAGTAGAACTGCAGAGAACCACATTGGAGCATATGTGGGGATTTTCCGTTGAAGCAGAATTAATAGAAAATGCAGATCGGCAAGATGAGCTATGTTGCTACGTTAGTAGAGTTGAAGACAAAAGTGTCGCAATGCACAATGGTAAGATTAAATTTTAATTATTGGCCTTTTTTTTTCATTTGTTGTAATGAATATTCCTGTAGGTTTATATCTAGTAGTCTATTTTCAAATGTTTTCGAGTTTTATACCTTCAAATTTTCATTAATTGTAATTTTAATTATTAAAAGATAATATTACAGTGACTTAAATTTATATTTCCGAACACCAACCTGGCTGACAAACTCGTGGAGGCTGTCCCAATCGCCCCATTCACCTGATGGCCCTGGTTAATATAATGGAAGATATTTATCTGCTGTTCTACTTTTAATATTTTTCATTCTGTTATTGAATTATAGAATAATTCATATATTTATTTAATTTAAAATTAAATGCTCAATCAAATTTAATTTTCCATTTAATCTATTAATGCTCCTATCTTGAGCAGTGCTATTTTATTTTTTTGAAAAGGTTGACCATTGCAAGAATATTTATCTCTATTTGCATATAAGAAATGAAAAAGATCTGGATCAAAACTTGAAAATAATTGCATCTTGATATATGCTCTTTAAGGTCATATAAGCATTATTGACTGTATCAAAAGTTCATTAATTGTAAAAATTGTTATATTCCTAAAACATTAACTGTAATATTGCTATTGTTAGTGCAAAAGGTGTTATGTAAAAATTGAGTCTTCTACAGGAGTCCATTAAAAACTGATTGTTTCATTATGATTTATTAGTATAATAAATATATCTCTGTGTTTTTTTCCATATTAACAGACTACCTATAGCAGTTGTAGACTAAAAAATGTCACCTTTAGCACAAACAGAACAAAAAGGAAAAATTTTATATATAAACTTTTGTACAAACAGTAGAGATATAAGTAAAGGAAGACCTATAACCAACTATTATCAAAATTTTGTTTCTTTAATCCTATTAATTGTAAGTTTCCATGATTATAATTTAAGACTTCAAACACAACTTTTGGTGATCAGCAGTTATCATTAGACTTATTTATGTTTATTTTTTGAAATTTCAGGAATTATAAAAGGAGATGAAATAATGGTGATAAATGGCGCTATAGTATCCGATCTTGATATGATGTACTTGGAGTCAGTACTTCAGGAGGAACTGAGTCTTTGTATGATGATGAGAAGTTCCCGAACCGAACCACCAGAGACTCAAGCTGGAGGGCTCCTGCGTCCAGATGTCGATATCGAGAGTCTCGTGTGCCCGCCTCCCCCTTCAGAGCCTCCTGTCATATCTGAGGAAATGATTTCTGGACTTATTGTACCTGCTCCAGGCTGGAGTGAGTTTGAAACTAATTCATTAAATGTTATTGGGCTGCAAACTGATTAATTTATCACTCATTTTTGGTAGTTTTAATGCTTTTATGTTTGATAATATTTCAAGTAATTTTGTTTTATATGTTTTACGAAAAAATCAGAAACCTGAAAAATACATTGCAGGTTAAAAAAATATGACTACAAAAAACTCTTCATCAATAAAAATCAGATAATAAAAATGGTACATAATTACAATTTTAATTGTAATAATGTAACATATATCTAATTATCAGCATGACTCCAAAATATAATTATATCCAAAATTAGTCGAATTGATAATTAGTGATTTGAAAAGAATCTTAATCTTATAGAAAAAGTATGTGAAATCTTCCTTATCATTGGATATTCATATAAGGATATGATATTCAAGATAAAAACCTTCCATACTTAAAAATTGAAGATCTACAGTACCCATTATTTTAAACAGCATCTGACAATCTCTTTTCAAAATTTTAGACTACATTTCTAAAAATATAAAAATTGCTTTTCAGAAATTTATTGCTTTTGAACCACAATCTAAACTAAAAAGATAAAACTAAAAATCTTGTTCATTTAAATTTTTATAGCAGGCAAAATAATTTAATTTACTTATAAACTTTTATTTTGAGACTCTCTCTTTATTAATTTTATTAGATGCTACTAAGCATTATATAATGCACTTAAGAGGACTTAAAAGTATTAAAATGCCAAAGTGAATTATTTATGCATTAGTATATTTATTACCTACAACATTGTAAGCCAAAAATAAAAATTTATTTTTATTTTTAAAAGTGAAACCAACAAAAAGTGAGGCTTGGTGTTGCTCGCACAAAATTAGATTATGATTTGTTTGTCCATTTATTTATGTTTTGTTTCTTTTATATATATATAAGTTATTTAAAAGAAGTTATAATTGTATTTGTACAATATTAAATTATTCATTATTGTTAAAAATAAAATAAAATGTTAACGGTTGAAACAGTTGAAAACATAATTTAAAAGCTTCTTATTTAAATTTAATAACTAATTTCAAGTTACATTTTATTTTCTTCTATGCTCACCTGTCTAGCTAGTGTTTGTTATTAAATTAAATGTTAAATATAGTAAACTAAATTAAATTACCATATAATAAAAATATAATAATGCCATAAGTTTGAAACTATTGAGTGATGACTCAGTGGAGACTGAGTATTGAGCACCAGGTATAATGGGAGAAACCTTGCCCTTGAAATGCACATTAGAAAATTACATAAAACATTTAGCATGCCTATAGTAGTTAACTGATAACATTATATACCAGTCTAACATGGTCTTTGCTCGTGGGTTTTACATTTTACATCAGATTGCTACAACTCTTGCTGGGCTGGCTTATAAAGGACTTACATTATTTTTCTGTATATATATTATTATTTATTTTAATTTAATTTTAATAAATATATAATTGATTTTAATTTAACCATTATTAACAGTTTAATAACCTCTTCCAATCCCGATAAATGCTACAAGTTAAAAATAAAAACTTTTCATTTAGCAAAAGATTTCATATTTAGTGTTAACTATACAAAACTGTCTTCCATTAATATTCAAACATTAATAAATAATAATAATAAATTGCTTAACACACAACTGAATTTGTTTTTATTAATATTTGTTTTAATAAGTATTTTCTTTAATCTAATTTGATTGTAATATTCATTCCATTGACTATATATAATAATCCAATTGTATGAATATTTCCATTCAAATTGACTAATCCAATATTAGTTATCTTACTACATATCAAACTAAGCATTATTCCATTGTTTATTCTTTAAACAATTAATACATTAAGTAACCTGTTCGACACTTGTAAAGAACAATGGAGATTACACAATATAACATAATATGTTAATTGGTTTGATGATTTGTTTGCAAATTATCTTAAATGTTGACCCATTAATTTAATTGAATAGCGTGTTGTTTTTCTAATATCTATTGTACTTTCATTTGTCTGTCTTGTCAAATATTTTGTTTTAAAAAAATGTTAAAAATTCGTCATATTTCTTTTTTTTATAATTACACTATCGTGCATTATCACATAATTTAAAAATTCAATTTATAAAATGTTTTAGCAAAATACACAAATATTTATGTGGGAATTTGCTGTAAACAAACAGCGATCTGTAGGTAAACAGTTTCTTATCACCTTATGTCACATTTGTCTCTATAATTTAAATCAAACCCTTTTCTGAAATTTTATTTCATAATTACTGCTGGATAAATTAAATTATCTCATGAAGTTATTCTATTAAAGTTTTTGATTCCAAAGCGATTCTATGGCAATAGGAACAAGTAATAGCACATATATTTACTGAAACTTTCAAAAAATGTTTTTCTATAGTCAACTAAAATGAGTTCTAAAAGCGACTGGTAATTTAAACTATTGTTACAATATGAAACTAAAGTCTAATATATTTATTTTCTATCTATCCTTATATAATGAATTACATTAGAGTCCGACTAATCTGGACTAAATGGTTCTAAATACAGAATTTCGAAACTACATGGAAACAGCTGTGAAAAACAAGAAACATGTATGGTTTTTTTCTTGTAAATGCAACTTTCCATTCAGCCGTCTCAATACTACCTAATGTTTATGTGGAAGAAAGTTTTTGACTGTGAGCTGAGATAAGGTGAACAAATTGAAACAATTTTGTGATTTAAACCTAAAATATTCAATAATAAATATAAAATCTACACTAAAACTTAAGAATTAAAAAGAAAAATGTTTTAGGAAAGCACACAAATGTGTTAATGCATTGTTACAGATTAGCTATAACATAACTGTTTCAGTGTAACATGGGTGAAGCAGTTTCTTGTTACCTGTGAGCACACTTTTCTTAATAATTTAAGTCAAACCCTTTTCTTAATTTTTGTATTTATCACTGGTTAAATACAAACAGTTTTAACAGTTATGGTGCATGCAAAGCAATAAGAACATAATAACCATAATTAATTCTAGAACTGTATTACACATTCCTTTTATTTAACAGGTAAGGAACTTTACTCTCCAGAAGCAGAAACATCCCCTGCTCCACCAAACAGCGAACCAGCATCAAAACAAACTACTAGAGCCAATTCTTTTGAAATAGAAAATCTCCTTAAAGTAAGTGTTGATAGGGAATAGTTAAATAATACCTGAGAATAACTATGTATCTCAACTCATCAGAGGTTTTATCAGAAATAATAGTTGAATCCAATTGAAAGGCAAATTTATACTGCTCTTGATCGTTGCCTAACATTATAATATACCTGACTATCAAGCGCATATCTATGATTATACTTAGGAAAGAACCTATAATTTCACAATCCTAATAATATTTCCTCTTAATTTGATTTCTAGAAGAATTCAACTCTATTATTTTTCAAATGGAGTTAATCTTTTTTCAAAAAGAGTGATTCATTTTATTTGTTTATTTTGCACTTCCTTGCCTTATGGCAAAATAGGAGTTGGCAATATTACAGGGCATGCACTTGTTGAAAATAAATTTCTTATTTAACTTTTATCATTGTTTGCCTTAATTTACATCTTCAAAGGTTTGAAATAACCTGTCATTAGTTCATCATTCTTCGTGCTGCCTTCCTCTTCTTCATAGTCTCCTCTATACTTTAGTTGTCCAGAAAAGGGCCTATTTCTTCCTATGTTGAAATAGGCAGGGGCAGCTGCACTTTACCAGCCATACACAAAAGATCTATAGTACCATTAGATCTATTCGGTTCCCAGCTGAGAAGAATTTCCCTCAGCAGTTGGCCTTCTGTACCTCAAAGGTTTCCACAATAATGTGCTCTATCTTCTCCAGGTCTTCGCTTCTTGGACATACGGTTGTTCTATTCATTTATTTAATAGGAATTCATTTATATTGTATGCACTTGATTTTATCAAGTAAATTTAAAAAAAAAAATCATTTCGGGGATGGCTAAATGAAGCCCTTCTTTCTGTAACAAGGCTGTTTATTAATTAAAACAAAATGAATGTTGCAGAACTTAAGTTATAACAACATCGATAATTCATTGGCTGTTAATTTGATTATTTGGGTGATTGGGGCTTGTTTTACTGATGAAAGTTCAATGAAAAATAAATCAATAGGGGCTATAATTAGGAATGTTATTTAAAGTTTATTTGTTTGTATATTTTTTTAAATACAATTCAGTATTGGTTTGTATTGAATATCTATGTTACTCATTATTATTATTATTATTATTATTATTATTATTATTATTATTATTATTATTATAACTAGTATCATAAGTCAAAATATTGCAAAATATGATTTAGTTTAAAATCTTAAAGTAAAAAAAAAAAAAAAGAAAGTTAAAATATCTAATGAAGCTTGACAAATTGAGATAATAAGACATAAGCTCATCATATACACTTTTATGATCAAATTAAATGAGTCTGCAATGATTTATCTTAAATCATTGATTTATTTATTACAATTATTTTTTGTAATCACGATATATGCAATAAAAATCCATCAGAAATACTTTCATTTATTTTTTGTTATGTTGATGACAGTAAAGCAATTACTATCAACCTTGTGTCCTTATTTTTTAACAATGAATTTAACTTAGTCTTATAAAGTCCTATTCAATCTTGATGATTCACCAACTACCATCCAAATAAGCTGTTGGATTATCAGATATTATATCAGGATCACATTTCAAAATTTTATAATATAAATTAAATTTTATTAATATTTATTTATCAAGAAAACATACTATTTAGTTGATATAACGATTGTTGTACTGTCAAAATCATGCTGTAATTTAATATATTTATTCGTCAAGCTAAATTGGGGTATCTCTTTTCGTACAATATTGCTGATATTGGTCATTTATCTATATTATTCCTTGTTGATTATCATTTTAAGATTTTTTTTCTATAGATGATTTCTATCTTCTCTATATTTTCATTCATTATTAGAAATATAAACATGTTGAAAAAGGCCATTTTTCACCATAAAGCTCCATAAGAGTTTCTTATGATCCATCTTTATTTTCTTTCTTAAATACAGTGAACCCTAACTATAACACAGGTCAGAGGCAAATTAAACTAAGAAAATATGAAGCATAGAAAGAATTATACACACTTCATTAGGCGTTGACGACCTTGGGGTTTTGCTCCTAGATACAATCGCTTGTGGAACTAAAAACACTTTATTAAAAATGGATGTTAAACATCAAAAATAATTTGTCATAAAAAACAAAAAATAGTCAACAATTTGTTTATATTTTTTAATACAATGGTATTCTGCTAATTTTCATTATTGTTTTTCAAAAATATAAATTATTTTGTTACTTTAAGCCTGTTAGATGCGCTTTCATAATTATTGTGTTTTTAGAAGCAACTTGCAGAAGTTTTATAGGCTCAATAGAAGATTATGCCTGTCCTTCTATCCTAGTCAATAAAACACTAATTGTGGAGAATGCTTCATTTCTGATAGATATTTTTATTAACTTCTGTTCTCTAACTCTTTTTCCTTGAAACAACTGATAATTAGAACGAGATTTTGACTTTATATTTAATTTATGAATTATCTTTCTTGTGGTGTCCCAAAACAAAAATATCAAAGTATAACAGAGAACTTGAAGTTCACTAAACATAAGAAAGCAGAGTAAAAATACTAGACATTGCAAAAAATGAATGAAATCACACTTAGGTTGTCAATGGTATAACAAGCTGCATTATAACAAGGGTTCACTGTATTCTGAGTTTTGTGCTAAAACTAAATTAAGGGTTCCTATAAGTATATACCATTCTAAGTGGTATTTACTCAAAACAATATAAATTGTTCGTTGAAAAAGTCATTCTATGTATCTCTTGTAGACTGCTGAACAGGTTACAGGATTCTGCAGATCTCCGGTCGAAACCAGAAAGTCAAGCCCGACTGGTAGCGTGGTTAGTTCAGGTGCAGGACTTACCCCGAGCAGGCAATTGACAGATGCTGAAAAACTGAGAAAAGTCATACTTGAATTGATCGACACTGAAAGAACTTATGTCAAGGTTAGTTCTTAGCAATACAATTAATATTTTCTGATTTTTATTTTTTTACTTCCTTAGCTACTTAATTTTTCACTTTTTACACATTTTTGGGGTAATTTGAGTCCCAAATTTTTTAAAATATATTTTTGAATACAAAATTATATTGATATGTTACCACCTTTTTAATTGCTTCTCAGCCCAGATTATGATTTATAATATGAATCACAATAACAGACAGCAATATAATGATACGTATGATTTACATAAAGAAAAATATATGTATATATATTAGTCAGCTTGGCGGATCCCCAAAAAATTAGTTCGAATCTTTAATGTAAGGTTTAAAAGGTAGTTAAGAAAGTTTTTTCCTTAGCATTTTATAATGATTCTCTTTTCTTCAATAGAGGTTGTTCAGAAATCATTTGGCTTAGCAGTAACACATAAACTACTTGACAATGTGGAGATAGCCTTTGAAAAATTAGAAATGTTTATTCATACTTCAAGTTATTAATAGTTATCTATTTTTTTTTTCGAGTCCACAGGCTCTTTTTTTAAATTACATTATAAACTTCCACTTTAGGGAATTAAAAACTTGATTTTTTTTTTCTGATACTTTCTAAATTTATGTATTTTTTTTTTTACTTTTCAGCACCTAAACAGTTTATTAGAAAATTACTTAGAGCCTCTTAAAAAAGAAACATTCCTTTCTCAAGCTGAAATTGGTGCTTTGTTTGGAAATATACAAGAAATTGTTTCTTTCCAAAGACAATTTCTGCAGAACTTGGAAGAGGCTCTTGAAATGGAGCCAGACTTTCATAAATTTGACCATCCCAGTCAATTCAAGGTAAAAATACATATATATACTTGTAGAGGTTTCTATATTTTACTATGTTTCAGTTTATTTCAAACTGCTTACTTAAATTTTTCAGAATGTTTTATTCTCAGTCGGAAGCGCTTTTCTGTATTATGTCAACCATTTTAAACTCTACAGCTCATTCTGTGCAAGTCACTCTAAAGCTCAAAAAGTTCTTCATCCCAGTGAGTATTATAGACTATTGGAAAAATAATTTATTATTGATTAAATTAATTTAATTACTCTCTTAATAAAAATTCCTTATTTTAGTTGTGTTTATTTATTATTATAGAGATACTGTCATATATTCTATTGCTTTTCCATAAAATTTTTTTGTTTTGCAGATGAAGGTAATCAAGCACTGCAAGAATTCTTGGCAGCAAGAAATCCAAGGCAGCAGCATTCCTCTACCCTCGAATCATACCTCATCAAGCCGATTCAAAGGATTCTTAAATATCCATTATTACTGCAACAGCTTAGAAACTTGACCGATCCACAGTCTGATCAGCATTTACATTTATTAGGTTTGTTTTTATTATAGTTTCCAGTATAAATTTTTAATTTGCGGTTTGGAAATACTTCTTTTAGGTTTGGTGGAAGAATATAACATTGAATACATTTATTATTTAAAAAAAAAAAATTTAGTGCCATTTTTTTTTTTAGACTGTGTCCTTTTTTATGGATTTGAGGGGCCAATGTCTAAATTTTGATCCTGTTCCAGTTCTCCGCTTCTATTCCACTACATTCCTCTCTTTTTGAATGTCTTCTTAACTGCACCCTTCCAAGTATTTCTGAATTTTCCTCTGAGCCTTCTTTACACTACACTCATTCCATACATGTTTTTCACTCTTCTCAGCAGTAGAAGAGGAGGTTACAGTTAAAAGAAGAAGACTTTTTTTTATTATATCTTCATTTTGTGACATTAAGTAATTTAGTAGCTGTATAGTTGCCTCAAACAAGAATCCAACATATTTCAGATCTTATTTGGATTCATCCTCCCAAAAATATTCATGCAGTGAAGCTTTAGTAACTTGATAAAAATGTATAGATCCACTTTCCTATATTTGACACTAAATATTTACTCTTCCTTTTTCTCTAGCTACCATGTCAAGAAATTCTGAAGTATCAACTTCTAAGCCAATAACCAAATTTAAGTTTCCAACAGGCATCCATAATTGAAACATAGAATTTTCAATTTTATTCATATTATTTTCTTTTTAATTAACAGTTTTGTTTCTAGTTTTTGGTGAAGTAAAATAATATCGTTTAAATCATAACCTCTTGTTTCAATCACTGTGTTAATGGAAGGTTGATATATAGGTTAAAGAAATTAATTTTTAAAAGAAATTCTCGATTCCTCAATTGATTCTAACAATGCAGCAGAAATAATAACCAATACAAATTTATTTCTTTAGCCAATTTATCGCACATGAATTATAATATAGCGATTAAAACTAGCAGATTCAGTGAAATTCCTTGCTTTGAAACATATTATTTAGTCTCACCATTAACTAATACAAAAATTGTTAGATAAAAAAAAATCATGGTTCCCTTCTAATACTCTCCTTACAAAAAAATTAATTAATTGAATAATTTTGATATTGTTTGACTTCAAATTGAAATACATAGTAGTTTTTTACATTATATCCATAACATATAATTGATAAAATTGTTGACAAAATATGACAATATTTTCTGTTAGTAAGCTGTCTTATAACATTTAAAGTGTTAATATTAATGTTTAAGTAACCTGGTAATATTAAATAACCCGATTTTTAATAATTATTTGTATTATGTAGTTTTAGTATGTTTTAAAAGTGAAAATTAAATCATTATTGATTATAGCTTATCAGTACAAATACCTTGGCCAATTATTGAAGGCTGGGCTGTGGAAGGGTGAAGGAAGCCAAGGAACGCCAAATTATACAAATCTGTATTTAGAATATTATATTATTTTTTTGTATTTTTAATTATAGAGGCTTTAAAAGGAATGGAAAAAGTAGCAGAGCATATTAATGAGATGCAGAGAATACATGAAGAATATGGTGCAATTTTCGATCATCTTTTCAGGCAGCATCAAAAATCATGCAAGCAGGTTTGTATCATTTACAATAATGCGCATAATTAATTGAAACATTTTGTATTTGTTCATCATTCCAATGCTATAATGTCTTCATATGTTTCCACAGCCAATTGACTTGAGCCCTGGTGATCTTCTTTATTATGGTGGCGTTGAATGGTTAAATATTTCTGACTTCCTAGGGAAAATAAAGAAGGGCCTGGAATTACATGCCATGTGTTTTGTTTTTAAGTCGGCTGTTGTATTTTTATGCAAAGAAAGAATAAGGCAGAAGAAGAAACTTATGGTATGTTTTTGATAAATATTTATGTCAACTGATATAAAGTAAATAATCTATAGGTATACAAAATAATTAAACTATACAAAATTGGAAATATGTATGTATGAATTTGAAAATATCCGGCATCTAGAAGTGATTGAGACTTTTTATTTTATTTTATTCAATTTTTAAATCACTTAATTGTCTACCGATTCATTTATTTATTTATTTTTTTGCTTTTATGTTTCTTTTTTTCTCTTTAATGTTTTTAAATATTGATTTGATGTTTAATTTGTTTACATTTTTCATAAATTAATGCTTAATATGCCTGGCAAAAATCTCGCAACAGTCTTGTATTTACCTATTAGCTTATTGTTTTAGAGATATTACTCTAATTTTTCAGATAGGGGAAACCTAGCTAAGTACGGATGAAAAATTAGAAGAATTAAATGTAAAAGTATATTGGTCATACCAGTTCTTTACTGTATAGTAACTATAATTGCCCAATATTAATAACTATTTTGCCTTAATCTTTATTCACAAACATTTTTTTTATTTTGGAGAGTCGTGGTAATGGTCTTGCACAGTGCAAGAGCAAGACCTATTTTGGGCAACTCTTGCTATTAGGTAATTAGTTTGGCTTTTTATGTGTTAATTTTAAGAACTAAAATAAAACATAAAATTTAATTTTTAAATAACTTTTCCGTCGTTGAGGTGGTACTTGTACATAGCTGCTGTATAAAATATATTTTCTCTGTATTTGAATTGCTCATGATAATGATTCCCAGAATCTTTTTTTTATTTCCTTTAACTTTTTTATTAAATATTTCAATTATTTTATATTGCAGAGTGTTGCTAGTAAAGGAAATCCTAATGAAGTTGAGATAATAAGGTATCAGGTATTGATACCTGTGACAGAAGTGCAAGTCAGGGCAAGTTCGGCTAAAGATATGGAATCTCATTTCCTCTGGGAACTTATACATCTAAGAAGTCAGCTACAGAGGAGATCTGAAAAAGTATATGTTCTCTCTAACAGGTATGTTCCTATTCTAATATTGTCGTAGTAATCCAGAACTGATTATTGGAATTCTTTTAGATTATCATGGGCAATAATTAGTCAGGATGCAGTAATTTTAAGATTTTTATTATTGTGACATTTCTTTAGTAGTACTTTAGTAGAATTTTAATTGAATGATATCTCACAATTTTGGCTTGAAACATCGGTAACAATAAAAATCTTAAAATGGCTACGTCCTGACTATTAATCACCCATGATATGTAGAAGACTTGACTAAATTCCTTCAATATTATAGATTATCATCTAAAATTACTCTCAAACTTCCATTTATATGATTGAAAACTCTATAGTTGAAATAATAATAGATTATTTTTACTGTTTACATTTCAGTTATATTTTAATTTTAGCTGGCCTCTTTTTCCTATAATTAGTGCTTAACACTAGCAGATCAAGGATTTAATTTGGGGGAGGGGTTAATTTTTATATATATAGTGGTAATTTCTTTGAAAGAAAATGAAAGAAACTAACAACCTGTATGAAATGGTATTTAAGTAATTCTTGAAGTCCTATTAAATGTAATTAAACGAACAATAATGCGTTAAGAGATAATTTTTAATATTTTTTTCCTAATACATGCTTAGATTTTTGGAGGGTGGGAGGACTGCCATTTTAGATAAAATTTTGTTATTAAAAAATTTGTATTTTTTTCCAGCACTGGAGATTTCCGTAATGCATTTTTAAAAACGATAAGGCAGATTATCCGTGAAAGTGTGAGGAACATGAATATTCCCGCTACTAAACCAGGAACCCCTCAAGTCAGTGGTGCATCAACTCTTGGAAGGGGGCAACAGCAGAGTGAGTTTTATTTAAGTAGTAAGATAAATTAATCACAAGTTTATGTACATTTCAGAAGAACGTAAAAATTAAAGTATCTATATATAATATGAATAGTATATTGTTCAAGAAACTATTGGCTTGTTTGCATATAGTGAGTTGTTAGTAAGTTCTTTATGTATCAGACCTTGAGAAAACATGCAGAGTCCAGATAGAAAACAAACTGGAAGATTAGGACAGCTACTTTTAGACCATTTAGCCAAACTCAGGACCATATTTTCTTCCTGAAGAGTATCTTTGAGAACGCTTAATGAAAAAAATGTTAATTCAACCTTAAAGTGAAACAAACCGATGGCCATATCATAGACCACGTGATGGCAGAGCATGTTGTGGCATTGCCTGCTTTAATATTCTTGTATCTAAAGACACCAGTTTGAATCCAGCCTTGGAAGATTGAAATTTTTTTTGTTGTGGACCTGCAGAATGAATCTCAACCTTCCCACTCAACTTAGAATAAGATTAGAAAAAAAGAAAAAAGGTTTCTTTGTTAATACAATTAAGTCAACATATGAAAGTTGTAACATGGAGGAAATATAATGAATCAATGGAAAACAGTCATTGAAGAGTTTCATCTTGTAAATAACCTACTAAAAGTTAATTGTAAATGATTTGTTTTTTGGTGGGAATAGCGAATAGCCTTCTGCTTTTATATCGGGGAACTAGGTTATTTACACTCAAGATAATTAAAACAAAACCCCGGCACTGGATATAGACTTTTTGAGGGTGTTTAACTGTTGTTGGGAATTCGGGAATCTAATACCTTTTGTGACATTGAGTGAGAAAAATTTTCACTCCTGTATAACAAAATGATTTATTTCTACAACTGTAACAAATGGACCCTATTAAAGTATTATAACTATAAACTTGATCTTCTAAATCTTGTAGTAGACTCTCTTCACAGGTATGTGTTCCGCCTCAATGTCCAATCTCAAGTGCCTGGCGTCGTCTTCCAGCTACTGCTACCTGACCGGACCTTTTTCCTTCTTTATCGATTGTTTATCGATATGAGATTTTCCAATGAACAATTTGTCCACTGCACAATTGAGTACAATTCACAGTGCAACCTCACATTCCTATATATTATATTTTCCTTCTCATTCCCTCACCCAATGTCAACTAAAGGAGTAAATACAGGAGGATGTTTACTACAATCTTGCATACCACGATAAAAAAAAAAAGTAATTTTTTGTATGCATTCAAGATAACCAACCCGCTGGATTCTGGAAGTTTTGAAGGATTATTGAAAATATGGAAAAATAATGAGCTGTATAAACCTTCTGTTGATATTACTTAGGTCACTAGCAGATGCAGGCTTTAATTTTTTTGGGGGGTGGAGCTTCAGCCGTAAAGCTTTTTTTTTCATTTATATAACAATATTTAATTTTAAAAAAAAAGAAAGAAACTAACTACCTATATGAAATGGGGTTTAAGTGATTCTTGAAGTCCCATTAAATGTAATTACACAAACAATAATACTTTAAGAGATAGTTTTTAATATTTTTTTCTATAAAACATGGTTATATTTTACCATTTTAGAGGGGACTTCAGCCTGGATCCGTCTGTGGCTTAGGTCATTTATTAAAAAGTGAAACTGCTGATTTTACATGCAGGATACCTCGTGAAGTTCCATAAGAAGTTGTTAACAGAAATTTATTGTTGTACAAGAAAAATATCAGAACTAATGGAGTGATAACTGTACACAAATTGTCCATGGCATGTCTACTTTCTTTGTTAATTATAATGATGATAACTATACTGGAAGATCATCAAGTTATTTTTTTTTATTTCTCTTTTTAATCTATCAATAATCAAGTTTGGTCTCATGATGATACTTTCTGTTTTTTTTTTCTAAAACTTATTTTCAAACTAGGTATAACAATATTTAAGGTTTAATTTTTTTTTTAAGGTCACAAAGGTACAATGGTAGAGCAGCCCCAACCTAAGACCACTGCCTCAGGAGCAGTTATTATGCCTGGGTCTCAGACTCTGGGCAAGTCGAAAAGACCTCCAAAAGGCCCACAGCGTCATTCAGCAGGAAATATTGACTATGATGGAGATTCAAGAGAATCTAGTGTTGAAGGCGCTTCCCAGACATTTAGATCTCGAAGCAAAACTGTATCTGATGCAGTTGGTACGTAATTTATAATTGAAAATTTACATGTATATAATAAAATGATATTAAACTTGTTATTGATAACTTTCTATTGAATCATCAGTAAAACTGAATTATAAGAAGTTTATTATTCTTAGGTGTTTAAATCCGGAGTATAGACTAAACATAAATCTTATTATTTACTTCTTTCGTGCTTTTTGCTAAAATAATTGTTTTATTTGCAGCTTTTTTAAAATTATATTCATGAAACAAAATTTCTTTTAATGATATCATCAGCTTCAACGGAAATATATGTTTTGAGGTCCCCTAAGTCGAAATAACCAAGTCCTGCAAAATGGTCTATGTCTGTGTGTGTGTGTTAACAGTCTAGCTCTAGGAGTACGAAAGTTAAATTTCATATTTAAGGTTTTTATATGCTTGGAATGTTTCAGCAACTTTTTCATCAAAATCGGCTAACCGGAAGTGGTACTTTATATCATGGGCTAAACACATTTTTATGATTTTCTCGAAAATCGCTCTGATGATTTTGATTAAATTCATTAAATCAGTGTAAAATTAAGCATTTTAAAATAAAATGTAGGTTTTATTCTGATTGATGTTGTCTAACAGGGCTTAAATAGCTACTTTTCAATATTAGCTTTCGCTAAAGTACTTTTAATTCTTTTTATTTTGAAACGATTGAACATTTCACATTCATTTCTAATATAAAAGATAATTAAATATAAAATATGAAAGAATTTGATAATTAACTAAAGGAGAAATAAGAGATCTTATTGAAGAATAGTTGTAATTGAGGAATCAGAGAAATATGAGCGCACCCGAACTCATCCAAAAGATTAGAACACGCTTCCATATGTAACATCGGCTTAATATAATAAGGACTCTGACAATATTATGTAAATATATGTATGCGGTTTTCATAAGTGCTATTATTGGTATTATTTAATATTTAATTGTATAGATTACTGCATAGATTATATAAATATTAAAATTTGTATAAATATATAAGGGTAATTACAGAAATAAAAATAACCACAATGAAATATAAATCAATATAATGTTAATAATTTTTACTTTCATTTCTCCTTTGTCTCAAAATACTTATTTCTGCTAAAAAGTGGGTGGTAAGTGAAAGTTGTGTGATGCTTGCACCACACCAGATTTTTGTTGACTGATGAATTTTTTCATTCATTGATTTCACTATTTCAGATGATTCATCTGAGAAACATCGCCACGACTTAGATCCAGGAACTAAGTCCGAAGGTGAGGAAGATGGAGGTAGCAAGAAGTCCGGCCTTGGAAGGACACCAAACCATTTGACACTCTCTACAACTTCTACTCTCTCCGCCGGTTCTACCGGTAGCCAAGCTCGCCTTATCCAGTCCTCTCAACAACCCCAGAACTACCAACCACCTCCAGCAGACCTAGGTAATATATGTGCACACTGCCACCAGCCGCGGTTGTCTAAATGACATTCGCTTGAGATGAGCTTCTAGTCTGAATCGACGCTCATCTAGTAAAATTTTACAATTAGATTGCCTAATAAGCACCATAAAACTCAATGAAGTTACTAATTTTGTTAGTATTTCTTCATTCATGATAGGGTAGTATACTTTTTTACTGCGGTTCAATTGATAAAGCATGGCCTATAACGTGATGGAAGTAATAACTTCTTTAAATAGATTTTTCTATATTTTTCTATTTCTAATAAAAGATTCAATTCTGTTATTAATTGAAGGCCTATTCTATTTAAAATTATAATTTCTCAATTTTCCACCTACCCACTGAATCAGAAATAGTCAAATCAAAACAGTGAAAAATGTTATAGATGCGGCCTATCATTAGATGTTTCAATTGATATATTATAATCTTTAGTATTCTATATAATAGATGACTTATTGAGCAATACGTTTTCAAGTTCTTTTGTTTTAAAAAGAATTATAATTTCTATATCATACCCAGTTATTTTTTATATAGTATCCCTCTAAGCAATCACCTTTAGCCCAGCCCTCCCAACACAGCAGCTAATGAGTTAAGCCCTGTTATGTTTTAAAAATGTTTTCTTGATTTCTCTTTTAAAATAGATATTAAATGTCATCCCAGATCTCTTTATGACTTATGTCTTGTACATACACCAAGTACAGTTAATCAACGTACAATTAAATACGCGAAGTTCAGATGTTTTCTTGATTTCTCTTTTAAAATAGATATTAAATGTCATCCCAGATCTCTTTATGGCTTATGTCTTATACATACACCAAGTACAGTTAATCAAAGTACAATTAAATACGCGAAGTTCAGATAAGTCCTTAAATTCTCAACAATAATATCTAGGTTGTATAGATTTTAGAAGCCTTTTTAAATGATATTCAGAATCTCCTTTTTATAGCATTTTTGGACCAATTTGACACCAGCTAAAGTTCAGTTAACCAGTAAAACTAATAAAATTCTAACCAGTTATTTAATAAAATAAAACCAGTAAAAAAGTCTTAGCTTTGATAAGACCTGATGTTGAGCAATGATTATTTAGCCCATATCTATGGGATGGTTTTTAAGACAAAAACAATAATCTAAATTTACCACAATTAGCTCAATAATCCAGAGTTGTTCTATTGAAATAATATGATAATATTCCTCATAAATCCATTAGAAACTTTATTAGGTTATTTTCAATATAAAGGCAATAAGAGGAAATACTCCAAATTAAAATTAAAACTTAAAACCAACTGAAAAATGTATATATTTCATTCTATTTTTGTAATTTCTAATCTTAATTTGGTATCTGAATAATTACTTATGAGCTTTGTCACTTTATTTAATAGACCATGGATAATTAATCAATTGGAAGCTAGAATGAATAATAAATTGATAATAATAAAATATGTTTCCTTCCTTTTTTCAATGGAATTTTTACTTAAGGCCAATTGTACAACTGGCCCTTAGTCATCATAATAATCTAATCGCAAAACTGTTGATTAAAAAATAAAAAAATTGAAAATGGATTTGGCTGGTTTTATGATTCTAATCCGCATTTACACTGGTTCTTCTTATTAAAAAAAAATAATAATAAATTAAATGTTCTCTGGCGATTGACAACTGATAAATGGATATCCCAATAATTAAAATGCAAAATAAACAAAAGTTTATTAAATTGTATAATTGCTTATAATAGTATATATCATCTTTTTTATAAAAGATTGTGTAGAAGAAAGCATTATCATAGAATTTTTCATTTGCCAAGTACTCTTAAGTAAATTAAAGGTTTCATTGATATTTATGGTGCTCAATGACAAAATGTCAAATAGATCAGCTCTATAGGGAGGATAATGTCCCAGATTCAGAACCCTGTGGCTGGTCGCATGTGTCAAATACAGCTATGTATAGATTCCAGGCCTATAATTTTACATGAACCTTATGTAACCATACGATTAACATTAATAATATGCATAATGTTTGCTTAAAAATATATTTTAAAGTTAAACACCATAGAGACAATATATTAAAATCTATTATCCTATAATCATGTGTATTTTATAGATCTCTCCTAAAAATTGTCAACCGTACATGTTGCAAGAGTATTATTTAGAAAATTCGTAAATCCTACTTGCTCATTTAAAAAATAATTTATTGTAACTTTGATTCCTAGAGATTTTATCATTATAAAAAGATATGATATGGAGAATAAAAGCATTCAATGTGTTGATTGAACCTATAAATTGACTAAGATTAAATTTTAAAATAAATAAATTAATATTTCTTATTTTCTTCATTCATCAGACAATCTTTAAATTAGGTATCCATATAACTCCACTATTTAGAAATTATGTACAAATTAATAATTAAAAAATTAACATGTGTATGCATATTATGTCAAAGAAAAAGATCTAATTATTGACATATCTTTATGTCAATGTGTCAAAGTCATTTTTAAATCACCTAAATTAAACCCTTGACTAATTTCCAAAAATGATAATTACAAATGGATGATCACTTTTATAAAATTTAAAAATGCTTTTTTTTAATGCATCTTTCCAAGCTGTTATGATTTTTTTATATTTATATTCAGAGGATATTCTTTGTGATATCTGATACCTCCTTATCTAAACTTAGGCTAAACTCAAAAATATGTTTCAGGTCTTAAATAAAAGATTAGGATGTCTAGTTTAAATATATTGTGGCTGGCCATTTAAAAAATCCAAAATGGTGGTCATCCTCCTATTATGGTATCAAATTTTATATGAAAACAATGGAGGGAAATACAATTAATGAAGCAATCAGGTTTTCTTTATTCATATCGTTTTCATAAAGACCCATATCCTTGGAGGGGGGAGGGAGAGAAGATTGCTGGTAAACAGCTTGGATGAAAATTGAAGCAGGATGATGGCATACATTAGTTCTTTAATAGTATTGAAAGATTACTGTGCGTCCCATTTATATATGGGAAAGAGTCTCACTCTATCAAACTTAATCTGGTGTTATCATTTTCGTTCTCCATGTCCGCTTTTATCCACCATTTTGCATTTATAACATGTGGTTATATATTCGGATTCAGCAATTGTGAAATTTCTTCATCAATAATTTCAAATATATTGGTTGGTTTGAAATTATTTTTGGCCATTTTTTATATATAATTTTGGACTTTCTAACTCTGACTCTAAATTCTTTACTAGTGGCCTGAAAACTCTGGATGCTTGAATACCACTTATATAAGATTTGAAAAATCCCTAGCCATCTGTTTTTCTCAATTTTTTTAACTGTGTTGCTTACTGTCATATTGAGTCTACCATTATGGATTTTTGAAAACTATACATTCAAAGCTTTCATTTCGCCTGAAACATTTTTTAGATTTAATCTAGTTTTAGACATAGGCAGTGTCAGACTGAACAAATAAGATTCCTTCATTTATTTTGAACTTCAAAAATTAATTTTTATTTTTATTTTCCTTTTTGTATATAATTACTTCTAGCCAACTAGCCAAGTTGTTCGTTAGATTACTTTTGAATTGCATGTGCCTAAGTGGGTTCACCATTCGAGGTGAAGGCAAAGAAGAAAGACTTAGAAGGATGGTCAGGTAAGGGTGGCCCACTCTTAACACGCTTGTAGATTATTTATTGGCTTTGTAGTTAGTAAAAGGCACACAGTAGACAGAAATGTCTTTTGGTTTCCGCAAACTGTTGACTATTGATACTCACTTGACATAGGTCAATAAAGGCACAATCTTACCTAGTTTTATTTTCTTTATCATATCCACTTAACACCATTAATTTATATAGTAATGAATGTACCATTGGAAAATTGGTGTTCGACTGCTATCAATTGAATGCATAATATCACTATCATCCGAGAAAAACGCTTACAGAGTACCGGTTTTTTTCTAGGGTCGCCAGTTTGGAAACCAAGAGACATAAGCGAAACGGTGACACTTCCTCGAAAGAAAACGACCTCTGGGCCTGGAGATTCAAGGACTCTCGGTCGGAAGTAGGGCAACAAAGCAAGAGGTAAAATCTAGGGACACACCCTCTTAACATCAATGCCTTACATCTACCTTTTAAGAATTATAGATTTCATTATTATTAAGTATGAAAGAAGTGAAATAATCTATTTGTATTCTTATTTTGTTTTATTTTTTTATGTGACCTGTACATCTTTATAATGTAAGTCTGTTATCTAATGCTGATATTAGATAAATTTTGTTAGATTCCATTATAATTTATTATTTTCAGTTTATAATATTTTATTATTTATTTCCTCACTAATGAGGAAATATTTTTTTTTAATTAAACAGCAATGTTTTTATGACAATTCGTATGATTTACAATGTGAGTTTATGTTAATTTATATTTTCTGAATGGGAAGAGGAGACAAGAAAAGCTTTATGAAAGATTTTTAGATGTCAAATATCATTGGTTACTATTGCATTGAATAGTTACTTAATGTTTTAATTTAAGGTTGTAAGAATTATTTATGTTTTCTTATTTTCTCATTCTATTAGATGCATGCTCTAAAAAAAAAACTCAAAAAGTATAGATACGTAGAAAAATATTTTGAAAAACTAAAAATGACAGTAAATATGGATAGTACCAGACATATTTATTATTATAATTTAAGATTTAAAAGTATTTATTAAGAGCATTGTTTAAGAATTAATTGAATTAAATCATGTTAATCTTATGAAAGCATTTACAAAATATTAAATTAACGAATTTAACAAGCTATATAAAATATTTATTTCTTAATTTAATAAGTCTGGTTTTTAATCTTTGGTATATATCTAATTATTTAATTTTGTTTTCTAAAAAATAAACTATTTTATTCAGTTGTCTCACATGAAATGTCAGTTCAAAAAAATAAAATTAATTAACACACTTCACTACATTAGTGATTTAATTCTTCTAATCAATCGAAGTATGCTTATAGATAGTTGCAATGAACAAGCCCTTCTCCATAAAAAGATTTAGTCTAAAAGAATAGAAATTTTGTATGGTACCACTAATTATAAAATCTGACTTTTTAGAAAATTGTTTTAACAAGAGCTAATTGATCTAGTGGTTTCTGGTCATTTTCAAAGATTTATATAGTCAGTTTTGTAATGAATAATTTTTAATTTTGTCAAGGAATTGGCTCATTTTTTTTTTTTGGAAACGAAATTTCTGCTATTATAGATTTGTTAATCGACTGTTACCTCTTATATTTTTTAATATTATCCCAAAGTCAATGTTCCATGCCACACAACCAAGTAATTTTTAATTGATAATATTTTTTTTAAAAAATCTCAATTTATGTGCTTGTTGACAGTGAGTAAAATTACTTGAAATTATTCTTTATAATCTTTTTTAAAGTAATTTGATGAAGCAATCCTTTTCTTTTCTTCTCTTTTTAGAATTGAATTGAAATATTAATATTTCTTATTTTGATTTTTGTTATTTTTATTACTCTTGTTCTTGTTAGAAAATAGTTATGCAAAGTGGCCTAGAATAGTTTAATCATATTGTAACAAGCCACTATGTGCCTACACAACTTGTGCTGTGGACAAAATTAAATCAAGAATAATTTGAAACATTACTTATAAGCGATTCATAAATAAAAAAAAAATGATTTGATCTCACTATTCACTTAAGAGTGTCAATATCTTTTGTCTAGGGGTTGTGTCCCTTTACGTAAATATTTTCTTCTTGTTATATTTTATTAACTATTATTATAATTTCTTTTTAATTTCTTATTTATAGATTATTTTTAGATAATTTTTAGCTCTTTTCTTGCTAGCAAATCTATTTTTTTTATTTACTTTTTTTTTATTGTGTACATATTTTCATCAATAAAAATTATTGTAAAATAATTGCACTTACATGCATAAATTCATTTATTTAAATATGTAAGTGTATTTTATGTAAAGTGAAACAAACCTCATTGTATACTAGTTAAAAACAAAAAAATAAAATAAAATAAATAAATAAAGCATTCCAAATTAATATATTATCCTTTAATTGTACAAATATTAATTTTTTAACTATGGAAATTAATATAAATGTGTCAAATAAAGACTGTGATGATGACAGAATGAAATAATTAAGAAAGTGGGTTATTACTTAATTAATTTATGTAAAACTCAAGAGTATTAACTTTACATAAAAATTAAGGGAAAAAATCATAAAACCCTAATACCCGTTGATTATTGGTTTTGTGCCAAATTAAAAAAAATAAATAAATATATCTTACTTGAGTATAAACATAAATAGTTTAATTCTCCGATTCAGTCTTTGACTATAATAAGGTCAAAGCAGCTCAAAGTTTCTCTTTGGTAATGTTTAATTAATGTAATACAGATAATCGATGTGTTAACTCATAAAGTTAAACAATATAGCTGGTATGTTATGGATTGAACTATTTATAATTAATGAATTTAATTACTAAATAAATCTACACACTATTGAATCCGTATCTTACTTTAAAAATTTAGTCGATAACAAGGTATAAAATAGATTTACATGTAACTAATAAGCAGAATAAATGAAATCCATTAAGTCTTTTTCGAAAACAATCCTATTCTTGTAAATAATAATTAAATTTGATTTAAAATGATAATTTGTTTCATAATCTTATATTTTATAATGAAATATAAAAAAAAAATGTTAGTGATATTAATAAATAACATTTCTTTGTATCATTTTAAATTTTCTGCTTCTTAGTATTATTAAAAAAAAAAAAGTAATATGCATATTAAATCTAGAGTAATTTCCACTTTCCGAAATCAAATTGTATCAAATTTTATTTTAAGTTTAATTATAATTATTTATTTTTATGTTATATCATGATTTGTAATGTAAAATATAAAAATCACTTGCACCCAGTTATTGTTATATGTGATTATTGTGAGAGGATCTTGATTATAAATAAATAATATATAAATTATATATATATATATAGAAAATATATTATGATACGTATAAATAAGTTTATATGTATATAAATATATACATAAGTATTATATAACATGGGGCTCAAAATATAAAACAGGTCACATGATGTGAGATATGTGCAAGTATGGATGTGATCACATTGACATATTTTAACAATTGTTCTTTTTAAATTAATCTTATGATAATTAATTAATTACTGTGGATAAATGTAGTAATGTATGGTTTCTATGAGCAGAGCTGCTGTTTTAAGAACCAAAAGAAAAAAAATTAAATAAAAAGTCAAAACAATGTGTTTCCTTTTTGAGGTCATTTATTGTGTATGCAGTTCAATAATTTTCTGTATCGTGCGTTACATTATTAAAGTGGTCTTACGTAGAAAGTAGTTCTAAAATGACCATTATAAGCTTACGGGTTCTCATGTTTATATTTATTTATGCTTTAGTGAGTGATGTGTATTTATGAATAAGTAATTTATTTAAATATTTATTTTGTATAGTTTTTAATGTAAATAGTATTTTTAACATGGTTGTTTAAAATAATTTTACTGTTGTTTATGCTTAATTTGAATGAGGTATTCTCGTCTCTTTAAAATAATTTCTCAGATCTATGTATAATTATAATTTTCAAAGACTTTTTTTTTAAGTGAAAATATAATTTATTTACTGATGTACTTAAAGATTTTCACATAGTTTCACTTTTTATAATATATTCTTAGACTATTTAATACCTCATTCATATTTTTAATCCTATGATATTACAACAGGTCTATCGGACTTTGTTATTAGGGTTTTCACCCAGATGAATGTCAATTGATTAATAATGTATTTATGTCTCTTTTATTTGTTAATTAAAACATGGTACTAATTGAGCCAGTGTTCATTGGGAATTGAAACTTGTAATTAATAAGGCTAGAACACAAAAGGTTCGTTTAAGGGAATCAAGACAACTCCTGTGATATCATATTCCTCTAACCATTGCTTTCTTAATATGTTTTATTTACTCTACTCTCTTACATCGTATGCATACACAACATGTATATTATGCAGTTTTCAATTATTTAAAATACAATAAAAGCGCTGGATTGTTCTTGACTTTTTATTTTGTTGTGGTGTCGTTTCTATTATAAATATGTTCATTGTATTTTTAAATAATAAATTAATGCATGTATTTAATTTCAATATAAATTTATGAAGTGTTAATCTAATTCATACAATTTTTTTTATACTCTTTCAAATGGAACATAGAGTGAACAATCCAGATAAAACTATATATATATTTGTTTTAAAGATTATTTTATTATTATTATTTTTAATTTAAATAAAAGAAGAAATTAAATTTAGAAAGAATAAAAGAGGTTTTGATGTAAATGGCCAAGGAAAAAAAAATTGAAAATGAAACGCATTGATGTTTTAATGAACGATTTTGTAGATTAGTATTTAATATAAAAAACAAAAAAAAATGAAACACCTATGTATCACCACAAATTTTATTATATTTTTTTCTAGTCAATCACTATTTCTTGTTAACAATCAGTATGTATTAGTTTTGTATTTTTATGTTTTTAAAAAGCACTTATATAGAGTTGAATTAGTTTTCTCATACTTACAGTATAAGTATATATACAAAATATATGAGAAGCTATATACATAAAGAAATAAATTATTATGAAGATCTTCAAAGTGACATCCTTTGTTATCATTAGGATAAGTTGTTAAGTAGATGAAAATAAAAAGAAAAAAAGAAGAAAAAAAAAGAAAAAGAAATAAAGAAAAAATACCAATTTTATTGGAATTATACTATTAATAAAAAAAAAAAAAAATGAAAGAGTTTTATTCCGTGCATCATAAATCTTATGCTGTATTAAATAATTCTAATTTTTACATTTTTATTTTTCCCTTGTATGCCTAAATTGAGCATATTTGTGAGACCTTAGTGTTCAGTCAATCTTTTCTGCCATACCATTTACACATTTTACGCAAAAAAATAATTTTTTACCTGAAAAATTAAAATTTACTTTTTTTACCAGAAAAATTAAAATTAACTTTTTTTACCAGAAAAATTAAGATTAATTTTTTTTCCAGAAAATCAAAATTGAACTTTTTTCCATAAAAGTTAAACCCTTTCCCGAGTCAACTTAATCGTATTCAAAATTAAAAATACTAGTCAACCTCGTTCATGATTCTTGAATAAGTTATCAATGATTTATGTTTGATAATCTGATATGATTTGTTTTGAAAGGTTTGAGAAAAGGTTTAATTTTACCGGTTTAATTTTACTTGAAAAAAAGTTCCTACAGCAAATTTTTTAATTTCTCAAGCTAATAATTCAGATAAACTGCAAAATACTTAAGAAATTGAATTTCTTGAAAAATATTGGAAATATGCATAAATTAAAATTATTCATATTTGACCTAAATAAAACAACCTTAGTTATATTTTTAAAGTTATAAGAATTTTTTTAAGTGGATGAAAATAAAAATAATACTTATTAAGTAACTGAAGACATACATAATTTCATTATAAAATGTTAACTTGACATTTTTTTTTAATACACCAAATTTGTGCATACATAAAAATTATGCAGAGGAAAATTTCCATAATTGAATCTCCCTCTGTCTACCAAAAAATGTATCTCAGCACCAACATTTACGTTTCCTATCTCAAATATTTGTCAAGTTATGATATTTTTAAAACATTTCCTTGAAAACCTTGTTTTTCCTTTAAATATCTCAATTTATCTAATTTAATTGAATATTTTCAGTTTTTTTTTCTATATTTTTGATGTCTACAATGAATTTAATGTAAGATAGCAATCAATTTGCAGGAAAATATAGCTTCTTTGATGATCATAGAAGCCTATATAATGTAAACAAGGAAAAAAAAATCAGATATACTAGGTGGAATTTCACATAATTAATTTTTGGTAGAAACTCGTATATTTATAGGTATCTAATATTTTTTTACCTCTCCTCCTCAATATCTCTTCTAAATTATACTAGCTTTGTAAAGTTGGATATACTGCTGGAAAGCAAATAACAGGTAGACATGTTTAGGAAATTTCCATGGTTGTAGTTTGAAAATTCATTCTGCAAGTTTCTGTATAGTTATTCTGAAAATTATTTTATTAGGATAGTACATACATTTTTATTAATAAGAAATTAGTGTGGTGGAAACAATTCTATTTATAAACTATATATTCTATTTTAAATTTTCTTTTAAATTTCTTTAAAGAAAAAAATAAAAGAACAGAAGAAAGGAGCCTTAAGCATTGAAGTTGTGATAAAAGAAAAAAAAAAGTAAGGTTTCAATATTTCTCCCTTTTTCTGCGTTCTTCACATCTTGAGTCAGGAAGACAAATGTTAATTTAAAAAATCATATTCCTACACAAGATCTATTTTTATTTATTTATTTTTTAAGTATTACAATCTGTCTCAAGGACATTTATAATAGTGTTTACAGATCACATTCACACTCTATGTACATTAAATAAAATAAATTATACAGAAAAATAATATATATATATATATATATATATATATATATATACAATAAATAAGAATAAAATAACCTAAAAATAAATTAATAAAAAGAACACATACATACCTATACACAATATATAAGATCTATTAACGTTTTCTTCTTGATGGCCCAAATTTTGTTATAGATCCTAAATGGATTTCTCTCTGCTGCTAACTAGACTGGATATCAGTGACAGACCACCTGTTTTTGGCATGGATATATCATCCCTATATTATTTTTTTTTGTCCTTTTGGTGTATAGCATCACGACCGCACAGATCTATTGTGTGCCTAACCTGTTTTATGTAAAATGTTAATTATGTCGCTTCTGAGATTTTAGGAGGCTTATGGGGTTGATAGGGGTGACTCATAGCCTCTGGGGTCACCCACTCGGTCCTCCTTTAACAGCTCAAGTCCAAGCCTAGCAAACGTATCACACTGACAAACAATGTGGAAGGCTGCTCTGTTCTCCACATGGCGGAGAAATTTACATAGTGAATTTCTAGTCAATCATTAATCAAACATATGATACTTTAACCAGAATTGATTGCTGTAAGTTTTTTAAGTGCTGCTCTATCCAAACTTAGTAACAGTTTACTCCTTTTGTTTCAATGCCGTGCAAGGAACAGCATCGAATGCCGCTGCACCGTATCAGACCAATACTGCTTGAACTTAGCACCCTACTGCTTGAACAGCTCTCTAATCCTTCTTGTGACAATACTAAGGCTAAATCTACAGACAGGTTCAGGAGTTACAGGAATAGTATCTGACTCTAACCTGGCTAGTTAATCAGCCTCTTCATTGTCTGGAATGCCCGTTTGACCAGGCACCCATTCAATGTCTCTATATTATACAAAGTTGGGTGTATACTCCTGTTTGAGGGGCCTATAGTTGGTTGAGCATGTCATAGCCAAATCAACTCCTAATCCAAGACACTTCATGGTTAGTAGTGATTTATCTTTAATTAAGGAAATATGAATATAATTACTAACCAAGTGATTTATTTTTAATTAAGGGAATATTTATATAATTTCTAACCAAGCTACCATTTGGAATGGTTACAGAATAAATTGCAAGATTCTTATTTACATTTTCTCTGTGCAATTGTTATCAGCATCATATTGATTTCGAAGTTTCTCTTTATGGAATATGTACCTCAAAAACATTTTTTTTAAATTAGTCACTTTACCCTTTTATGTCACTGCCAATAAGGACCCATTGATGATTCTTTTATTTCTTGATTGAGTGAAAGTTAGTAGCCATGTTCTCTCAAGTATAAATTACGATTACAGTAAATGCAACAGTAGCTGAAACTGTTTGATTTGGAATGTTCCTTTGATGATGACAGAGATGATAATAAGGATGCAATTATGCGAAATCAATTTTATATTCTTCATTTTAAAACAGATATTAAAGAAAATTACTTGCAAGTTATTATAAAACTAACTACATTTATTTCCTTGAATTTAATTTATTTATAATGCTGGTGAATGTAAAGAATCTGTCTTTGCAACAGAAAAACCTATTTTTGCTTTATATTTAATCCAAATCACTAGTTTTTTTGTTTTTTTTTTTGTTTTGAGGGAGTAGGTAATGGTCTCATTTTTAAGACCCTTTATATTAAGTATATCACTTTGAATTTAAGAGTGTATGGGCCTGTCAGGTACTAGCAAAAGACCTTAATATAAGGTTCTAGTTGCTGACACCATTTAAATTTCCAATTCCTTCATCATGGGAAGTTAAAAAAGGATAAAATATAATTTAAAAACACTTGAAGAAAAAATTAATAAACAGTTTTGGGATGGATGGTTTGTTCCCTTACTGATAGATGATTGTTCTTGGAACACTAAGTGCACCATGAGAGGACCTTCCTAATTTTACACTCATTATTTCGGTTATGGTTTCCAGCATGACTAAAGAAAATCAGGCAAACATGCGAGGAGAAGATATAGAAACCAAAAATTTATGAAAAAGAGTTCTAGAAGATCCTGAAATCTTATTGTTCCCACTTTTCATCAAAATTTTTGGTGGAGCCATATTTTAAATATTTGAAGGGGGCACATTTCAGAGGAGTTATGAATTTGCGGAAAGTTCCATACCAAGAGATAAGGAAAAAACATGGAAAAGACAGCAGCAAGTGTAATTGTATATGATTTACAATTTACATTGTATACAATCTACAATCTACCTTCACTTGCTCTGTTTTTAAGAAAAAATGAGCAATAAAATATCTTGGGAGTGTGGAATAGGGCACTAGCGGATCCAGGATTTAATTTTGGGGGTGGCTTCAGCCCGAAAGTTCTTTTTTTCATAAAAATTTCGAGAAAACATGGTTATATTTTAGCATTTTGGGGGGGGGAGGGCTTCAGCCCGAAAGCCCCCCCGCTCCCCCCCGTAGATCCGCCCGTGGAATAGGGTCTTGCACCACCATCAATGGTGGGGAGGATGGACACCCCTGTTGATACACTGTCAGCTACTGCTGCTTTTACCCTACTGCTAATGTAGAATTCAAATGAAGAGATTTAACCTTAAACATCTGCCCAGCTTGGCATTAAGAATAATGTTCTTAATAAAAAAAAAACAGCTATGTCAACAAAAATAAAGTATATCTAATTTTTTTTTTCGAGCTAAGCTATATATAAAATAGTAGTATATATCCCATTTCTGGCTTCCAGGAGGGAAGGATTTCCTTGAATGAGGTATTAAACGAAAGGGAATTTTATAGAGAAGTGATTAATCCCAGTTTTGATCTTTAAATTTTTAAAAGAAGATGGCCTCATGATCTACTTATGTAAATATATTATTAGAATGCTACCAATGGGTAGTTTCTCAACAAGCATTTTCATGTGATTGTATTATTACTGTGTGCACATTTACTAGTTGTATTTTTTTTTATAATACAGTTGTAAATATCAATGAATAAAAAAAAAAAAAATTATAAATTTAATAAGTCATTTAAAAAATCGGGAGGTTATAAATGTCAGACAGGTCGAAACAGGATGGATGAATATTGTTTTAAAGATTTTGAGGCGGATCAAAATCCAATATAAAATGTGCCGTTATCGAGATAAAATATAATTCTTGCAGAAAGTCTCTTAATTGAAATAATTGCCATCGAATAATTATGATATGACACGTTTCGGTATTAAGTATTAAAATATAACTATTCATGAAGTCATTGACGAACTAAATATTTATTGGATAGCTTAATAGAGGAGAACAGCTCTATGAGCTCTTGGGCACTTCGGATGATACAGAAAGAAACTTTAATAAATAAAAAAATGTACAGCGTGCCATACTCTCATATTCTTCTACACAGGCGGATTTACAGAGGGAGGGGCCTTTCGGGCTGAAACCTCCCTCTCCCCTCCCAAAATGGTAAAATTTAACATAATTTTATGAGAAAAAAATATAAAACAATTATCTCATAAAGTATTATTGTTCGTGTAATTACATTTAGTAGGACTTCAAGAATTACTTAAACACTATTTCATATAGGTAGTTAGTTTCTTCTTTTTTTTTTTCCAAAGTAATAGTCATTGTGTAAACACATGTATTTCTGGTATGGTTTACTGTACTTCGAAAACTTTAAGCACTAGGATACCTATCTAATTCGAGACTTTTCACTAGGATATAGTAGTTACAAATATTTCAACTATGATTTTTATAAATCCATTTAAACTTTATTTTAAGAAGTGGAGAGCAAAATTAAGTTACTTGAGAAGGGTGGGGAGGTTTGTGCACTCGTTCTTGAGAGAGAGGGGAGGAAGGTGGACAACCATGCAAATAAAAGTAACTTTAGGACATATTCCGAACTGCTAGGAAAATAGCCCATGTGTAATATAAAACTGTATGGGGATTTAATGTACAAATAAAAAAATATTTTAAGATTATCTTAAATTCATGAAATAATGTTAATTAACATTTTATTTGAGAAAAAAAAAAACATCATGACTGCTCAAATCTTCCAGTCTATTCCTCTCCCGTAGTTCATTCTTTAATAACTGGTCAATTTAATTTTGTAAATACTCATCACACAATATGTATTATAAAAACTACTTTCATTGAACTGATCATCAGGATTCGATTTGATATGAATTAAGTATGGATTAAAATAGGAAAATATAATTTAACTAAGCGACATAAAAATAAATAATGATTTATTATTTATTTACAATGATATATTTAGTGAGCGAGGATGGTTGAGTGGCTGATGACACCAGGAGCAGCGATGGAACGGGCAGCGATGGCTGGGGATCCGTAGGCCCAATGAGCGCCGCTGTAAGCCAGTGGGGCGGCAACGTGAGCACCGTAGGCGAGTGGGGCGGCAACATGAGCACCATAGGCGAGTGGGGCACCGTAGGCGGCGGCGTAGGACAGGGGGGCGGCGGCTACAACTGGAGTCTCGACGATGGGGGCGGTGTGGGCGATGGCCCTGACTGGAACTGGAACGGTCCTGTGGACGGGTACTGGCTCCTCGATGGTGTAAGGCTGGCGGACCACATTGACCTGGGTGGGACCGACCTGGACCTTGGGGATCAGTGGGGCGCCTGCCAGGAGTCCGGAGGCGGAGGCGGCGGCGATGGCGGCGAAGAGGACAACCTGGAGGAAGAACAGAGTATTAGATCAAGTTCAAGAGATAATGACTTATCTTAGGAAATGAGAAAATTTTTAAGATTTTCTTTTACGCCAGTGGGATACAATTTGTTTAAATGTGAAATTTGTTATTTGTTTTTTATAAAACTTCTTAATCCCAAAAAAAATACAAACTTCTCAACTACTCACCCGACGGATAAAACGTTGTTGACAAGGGATCTCTTTTGAAAAAACACTAGTAAGTTTCAAGCTTGGAGTAACCCCTAATAGTATTATCTCAATATCGACATATATACATATATACACATAATTGCTTGTCATGCATAATAAATCTTCAGATTATTGCCAAAAGTTCATAACCTTAAATCACTAAGAACCTCAATAAATATTCCCTTTGTGTTATCTGAAAATTGTGCACTTACTGTGTTTTTTTATCAATAGATAAGCTCAAAATTTACAAAGATGTTCCTAAAATATCAGTTTCATCAAAAATGTACTTATTTAAGGATTTTTTTCTATAAACCGGCGATATTATAAAAATAGAATATCTTAACCAAGACACTCCATGTATGATTTATACAAGAAGATTCGTTAGATTATTTTTTTTTTTTTTTTTTATAAAATGGAATAATTGAAATTATAACAAATAAATTCCATGCTTATTTTAAAAATTATATATTAAAAAATGAATAAAATAAATTTAATATATAAAATAATAATTAAAAAAAAATGATATTAAAACACTCGCTAACAAGAACGTTAAGCGTTGGAGTCTCCCAAAGTGACCTCACCGGTGTAGGAGTGTAAACAGGCTTTGGAGACACTGGCCTGCTCCAAGAGGGTGGAACTAGTGTGGGTCCCTGGTCACAAGGGAATTAAAGGCAATGAAAAAGCCGATACCCTTGGAAGGAAAAGAGCGAAATTTCCTATTTTAGGTCGGGAACTTGCAATAGGAATATCCAAAAAGCATCAGCGGAAAGAAGTCCTTGATTAGACCTGGAAAAAAAGCAGGTAAAGAATGGAGGGAATGCACTGGACTAAGACAAGCGAAACAATTTATCAAAATCCCCTCTCCCTCTAAAAACCACTGCAGACTCAGAAGAAATTTAAAGATCTGTGGGATAGTGGATGACGAACTCTGCTATCTTTACAGAAGTGTACCTGAAACTGGCCTCCACTTCATAACAGAATGTGACCGATTTGTGTCACTCATATATAGTAGACTTCTAGGAGCAGACAGAATGCAGGTATGCAAACCATATAACCATATATAACAACCTTTTGAACTTCATTAGAAGAACAAAAAGGTTTGAGATAGATTATATGTACAATAGACAATCATTGCTAGTATCATCTTTGGGGTTGGCAAAAAAAGCAGTAGGCCCACTTGCTGGATTAAGTCCCCTCACCAGTACCGGTACCAGTACCAGTAACAAGAACTTTTTTTTGGAAAACTAATTAATTGAACTGGATAAAAGTTTTATTAGTTATGAACATTTTTCAGATAATTATAGAAATTAAAAGAAAATATTTCGAAATTTTAAATCAATTTTTCCTAATTAAGTTTGAAAATTATTTTAATATAAACATAATATTTTTACTTAAAAAGTTTTTGTTTTAAAACCACATAAACAATTAATATTTTCGTGAATACATTTCATAGTAAATTAAACAAGAATATTAGCTATAATAACTATGCCATATTCAACAGTTATTATACAACAGTTACAACAACCGAAAAGCTTTTTAAAAATCTAAATAATTCAAAATTAAACATAAAATAAATATAAGACAAAACAAGATCATTGAGTCAATTTATCACAAGATTATTTAGGTATTTTATTTTTTAACTTCAATATTTTATTTCTAGTTGTGATTCAAATCGGTAACCAGGAAATTCGATGATAATTGAAAATTAATCTTTTTTTTTCTTTTTATTTCGTTAGCTATTTACAATTAAATTGAAATTCATTCTAATTTTTAGTTTACATTTTATTGAATATACGGCGGAGGTTTAAAGAATTTTATTTTTATTTCAAATAAATAATATAGTTTCCCAACCAATCTCTACCATCCCAGATGGCTAATGCTTGGACAAGTACTTACCAAGTATTGCATGTTGCTGCGATGTACGATGCGAACAGTGTTTGGGTGGAGCTCCAGGGGCCGTTATATAGTCAAAGCCGACCTTGCTACGGCTCCCACCAACCAAATCTTTTTGTTATTTTTATTTGGCGAAATGCTGAAATTGATCTGTACGTTGCCTCTGGGTTCAACCAGGAACTAGGAACTCTAGAAGTCACACCCAAAAAATCCTCGTCAGAATACTGGTGACTGTTAAATAACATTTTAATTAATTAAAACGCCATATATTTTATTTAACAAAATTGAAGATGAAAATAAATTTAAACAATACAACTAAATTAAATCAAAACACTCGGCTATGTGGAACGGATTTTGTGGAAGCTTGTGGCCAAAGTCTAGAGCAGTTTTCAGCAAATAATGGAAATCCAAAAATTCAGGGAGGTGATTGGGCCAAGATCACGCTCTCAATTGCCACGTTTTTTATCTTAATTAATTATTTAATTAAGAGTACCCACTTTATAGAGATTGGGTATGCCCCAGGTGGGTCTCTCGACCCCAGGATCGATCCACAGCTGATGATAAATCAATAGTCATCAGGCGGACTCGAACTATAATCGATATATAACCTCGAAATATAATCTATACCACAACAAAAAATAATCTTACGTTTTATTTCTTTTTGTCTTCACCAAGAAAATTTGAGACTTTTCTAAACAAATTCTTTTCTTTCCTATTTTTATGAAAAAAATCCTCATTTTTGAATTTATTTATTTGGTATTTTGTTGCCTCTACCCTGTAGGGTCATTGGCAACGCCTTTACATTACACTCTGTTGCAGAGTTTTATCACTTTCGTTAACGATTTCGTCAGGGTCAGTTATAATGTCTTGTCCAGTCTTTATACCAGACAATTTCTTGGTTTTGGAGATCCCCTTAATGCTTTTCACTTTATTCCAGAGCTCCTTCATTGAAATGCTTTGATTTAATGAAGATACGAAGTCTTCCCATGACGATCTTTTGCTTTTCGGTATATATCGTAATCTTTATATCTCACTGTTTGAGTTTCTTGTAAGTGTGTTTCTTGGAGATAAACTAGTACAGGGTTCTCTTCGAATATTGTCATTTTTAGGTGCTCTAAATGTCGGAAAAATTTGTTACAATTCCATTGAATGATTGTTTTCATTTTGATTGGCAAAGTGTTTCTTATTTTCCAGATTATTATTATCACCCTGAATCCAATGACACCAATTATCACCAATATCCAATTCCATCACCATTTTTGAATTTATAAGCTAAAATTATATTATATTAATTAAAACTATCTCAACATGTGAGTTGAGGATTGCTGAAAAAATGAAATTAATGAAATATAACATGACTTCACACAGTGAAGAAGCTTCCAAAAAAAAAAAAAAAAACTAATTCTGTAATGCTATTTCATTAACTGGTCCCGTTTATTTCTAGTTTTTTTATTTATGAAATAATTTCAATTCAACCATTGACAACTGCATTAAAATTTAAATGCATCTAGTAAAGTTGACTCAGAAAAATTGAAAAGATTTTCAGAGAAACTACACTGACGGCACTCAAATAAAATTTATACTAGATCACGAGGCCATCTTCTTTTCTTAAGCTTCGGAGCGTTATCAGGGATCGAAGAGGAAGCAAGGTTAAAAATAGGTGGTTCTGAACTGTATAATGGAAGGATATGTGTCTGAAATTTGGTCAAATTAAAAACATAATCATTAAATTCCACATGGATGATTATATTTTATAGTCACAAAGTAAGGAGCATTGAGGACTTTGGATTGTAAGGATTTGATACGGGAGGAATTCGATGGTTTAGTGGAGCTTCCTAAGCTCAACTCCTTATGTCCAAATATGTCTTATTACAATCATGTATATGAGTCTTGAGAAAAAAAAAATCAGCTATAGCTATATATCAAACTATAAATTATTCTTCAGTTGACTTCGTGACTTCATTGACTCGCCCACTTCGGGCAAAGCTCTCTGCAGTTCAGTGCATATTCATATTTAAAGCTCTGTACAATGATATTTATATAATGCTAATAAATACTAATAAACTGGCATTTGTTTATTAAAAACGTCATTCACATACAATATATAATAAAAATGTTTAAAACTATTTCTGCACTACTAAAACGTTCAACTTCTATGATGATAGAATTATAGACAATAATTTCATGTTGTCAGCAATCATTGAGTCACATGAAGAAATAGTTAGTTTTAATTAATATGATTTTAGCTTATAAATATAAAAATGAGGCATGTTTTCATAAAAATAGGAAAGAAATGAATTTGTTAAGAAAAGTCTCAAATTTTCTTGGTGAAAACAAAAACAAAATCATTCAAAGGTTCCCTTATTTCCGATTTCAAATTATATATCGCAGTGGAAAAATAACGTGTAAATCAACACACGGTAGAAACAGTTGAAAACAACAAAACGCTTATCAGGTTAACCAATTGTTTTTAATAATTCAATTCAAAACAATTGGTTAACCTGAAGAATGTTTTCTTGTTTTCAACTGTTACTTCCTTTAACTGTTCACCTTGATTCCTAACAAAATCTAGCGATATAGATTATTTTTTATAGTGGTATAGATTATATTTTGAGATTATATATCGACTAGGAGGCCCGTGCGAAAAATTCGCACAGCATATTGTTATCAAATGCCAGATTAATAAGAAAATAAAATAATGCAACCTTTCAAAAGATAAAGAAATCAAATGTTACTTTATCGATAAATATAATCGACAAAGAAAAAAAAATTAATTTAAAACTTCATTTTTGTTTGGAATCAACATGTTTACAAATTTTAGTAAGCTGTTTCTTTGCTAAAAATTATCCGATTCCAATGATCTTTTTTTCCTTCTGTAGGGAATTCAGTAATCTTTTATTTAATTATAATCTTCTACATAACAGAGAAAAGTGTGTAATTGATTAGTGTTTCGCAAATAAAGTTTGTTTTCTTTTATAACATTTTTACCTGAATTTTCGGGATGATTGGACTATTTTGTTCGCCTGAAGGGGAAGGAAGCCTTCGAAATTGGTGGCCTTCGAAATCAATCTTGAGATTTTGTGAAAAATTGACGATGATATGGCTTGCCGATCAAAAACACCATCGATAAATAATATAAACTCCTCCTCACTCGATCATAGAGACATCAAGTCGACGAAATGAGACATGTATTCAATGACAGTACTACAATTAATGTAAGGCTGTGTGGATGCGAACCCTATGCCTTGCTTTATCTCGAAAATAGTACGTTTTTGGGCTTAAAAACGAATGAAGTCTTGCTGTACGCATCAAAATCTTCTAGATCCAATTTATCCCTTATCGATCTCCCTACCTACCACTGTTCAGGTATTTAAGCCTAGCAAAATGTTTGTATCGACTTTATTTATTTTAGAAAGAAAAACAAAAGTGGAGAATAAGATTCGCTAACCCCCCGAGTATGATAGGAGCTTATATTTGGTACAAAACCGATTTCGAGCCTTACTGTAATAATATATGTATGGATTATAGTTCGAGTCCGCCTGATTACTATTAATTATTCATCAGCCGTGGATCGAACCTGGGGTTGGGAGACCCACCTGGGGCACACCCAGCCTCTATAAAGTGGGTACTCTTAATTAAATAATTAATTAAGAGGAAAAACCTGATGGTTTAGCGTGATCTCGGCCCAATCACCTCTCAACAACCGTTCCTACTTCCTCACATAGTATTGAACCAAAAACCTCATGGGTTGTAGTGGTTTTTAAAAATATATTTTAGAGTTATTTTCCAATATTATGGAAGAAAGTATTTTCCGATTACATTCTTGATGTAACTGATTGAAGTAACGGATATTTAAAATTAAGAATAGATAATAGTTTTAATGAAATCAACAGCTAGTTTATCCTGGACCGTCAAATAGGATATCTTTAAGTTACATTTTTTTATTATCAGTATATATAATAATAACTCCTATTCTGTGGTCATCGATACATGTTACGGCAAAGCTTACACGAGACTGATGTAATAGTCCTTTGAGAAGGTCAATGCCAAACAAGCCGGCAGTTGGGTTGATGTCCGCGTATCTTTCGTCCTTCGCTTTCCCTCGTAGCTAGAGTTCAATTGATTTATAATTAAATTATATTAAATTTATAAAGAATTGATTTTTCTTCATAGGAAGTGATCAGAGAAGAGAAGTTTTTTTCCCCCTATAAGTACAAATACACAGTTTGAAAGCAAATTTCACGCTTTTTATTGAATAAAAAGAAACTGCTCCAAAAGTGTTTAAAATAATTAAATTCTTAGTAAACCATCGTAAAGAAGACACAATTTTTTTGAGTAAACAAAGATTAAATTTACTGAGTTCAATGATAAAAGCGACTTTTAGGAGTTCTATACATATCTCTGAACAGCGCCCGTATGAGACCTCCTAAAATTCCCTTTTATCATTGACCTCAGTAAAGTTAATCACTGTTTACTAAAAAATTATACGATGGTGTACTAAGAATTTAATTATGATAAAAGGGACGTATAATACTGGGACTTATGATAAATATTATAATAGTTTTCCGATTCATATCTTGTAGTTTTAATTGTGAACATCATATTGTTCGGATGTTGCCTTATTTATTACCTATTACCTATAAAGGATTTATTATATTAAAATACAAATAATTAAAGTTTTATATATGTTATTGTAATAAAAATTTCTTAATATTTTTTTATTGTTTAAACCTAACTCTTAAAATGGTTATGATTTTATAATTTGGTCATTACGGTGCATTAGATATCACTTAGTCAAAGCTTGGTTAATAATAATGTGAATAAGCAAACAAAAAAATTGAAATTAATAGAATATAATGTAAGTCACTCCAAGTTCAAAATTTACTCGTATTCAATACTCTATTACTTCTGGTGTGGCAGATTGAGGCAAGATCTTTGAACTGTTTTTGGAAGTTCAAATCTTAGTTTACAACAGTGTATATCTAATTTTTCGTGCGATCCCGGGCGATTTGCAAATGAAATTTAATTATTTACACTTGTTTACGAAAAAAACCACTAATAAAGTCCAATTGTACCATTAAGATCACCGTAAGATCTGTTTAAGAGCTTTAGGTAGCTGCCATGGAAGACCAGACATTAACTTCGGGCGTGGCTGGTTTACCTTGAGTTTCGAACTCTACAACTACAGTTAGTCCAGTTACCAGAAATGACGACAGGTTATTTTGGTTAATGGATAGGTC